ATAAGACTTAAACAAAAAGGATGACTTAAACAAAAATTACATGACTTTTTTGTATATTTGCCATAAGAGTAAAACAAAAAGGATGACTTAAACAAAAAGGATGACTTAAACAAAAAGGATGACTTAAACAAAAATTACATGACTTTTTTGTATATTTCCCTGCTGCAGGTGGTACCCGCAGAAAATCTTATATAAAGAGCCATAAGCTCCACCATATCATAAGCTCTGAGATCCGAAAAAAGAAATAAAGAAATGACTAATAATCTCCTTGCAATGCAAGCAGAAGGGACGGATCAGGAAGCAGAAGCAGAAGCAGCAGCAATACTCCTTGCAATGCAAGCAGCACCGGCAGTCAATATTCGCACATTTCCGATTCTCCCAGAGGCTCGGGAGCCTGATAACTTGTCCTCTGTTGCTAGAAGGGCTGCCGTTAAAGAGTCTCGAAGAGTTCCTCATAACTTAATATTCCGCGAGGGGTGGGGCGCCAGAAGACCTCGTTCTGCTATTGCAAAGTGGGGCACAAAAAAACCTCGTTCTGGACCTGTTATTGCAAAGTGGGACACAAAAAAAAATGTGTTCTATTATAATAAATAAATCTCAAAGCACCACAACTCAATAAATTAGGTTCAGATCATGTAGCAGAAGTTGTTCCAATTATGTAAGAAGTCAAGCGTTCGAATTCCATAGCTCTGGTGGCAAAGGAGTTGTCAAAAGCTGAGGAGGTCTTGTGTTCGAAACCCACCAGCAGCAATAAACCTCCCAAAATTTGTCCCCAATAGTTGGCTTGGCCGGTTTGATGGTTCACCGGTTCTTATCAGTTTAGGCAGGTTAAATGATTTTAAATGGTTTAATTGCTTAAAGGGTTTTAAATATCAACTCGACTCGTTTTTACTACCGAGTATCGATCAAACCGATTCAACCGATTTGTTCAGTCCGATTTTCAAAACAATGATCCCGACTATATTACATGAATCCCTATACATTTATTTATTTTTGGTATATAGGAAGCCATCATTGGAGCTTAAGCTTTAAAGTGGGTTTTAAACTCTCTTACCATTAGCTATTTATTTTAGATATTATAAGTATTTCTAAGAAATTTATTAAAAATCTTAAAAAGATTTATTGAAAAGTTTGAAAGGTTTATCAGATATTTATTCAAGATTTATTGATGATTTTAACCATTGTTATAATATAATAACATAAGATATAAATTTTTAGATAGATTCTCACCAAAACAATTTAAGAATACAATATACTATACGCTACCCTGCAATATTTATTTAGTCCTTTCACATGCATGACAATTGAATATATATTGCCATTTACCCATAAAGAAAAAATAATGTCCCATAACCCACAATCTGTATCTAAAAAGGCGTCCTGCAACTATTACCAAACAGGAATATATATATAGGTAACATTAGTCATTTATACATGAAACCCATGTGCACTTTGAATAAGACTTTTTTACTTTTATAAGTTGAACCATATTTATAACAGCATGAGAGTAACAAAGAATAATGAGGTAAAAGTGGTTATGCGACTCACATAATGAAATGTAATCGAATACTGTATTTTAGTCTAATTATAACAATAATATAAAGTATGTTGAGGAGCTTTAGGGTTTCAAAAACAATCAATTGAAGGGCTTCCAGGGGGTTTATGCGCAAAGAAACCATATACTCCATAAGCCTTTTACCCCCCTTTTTGGAGTATAACTCTCATCCAAAGTATGCATAAACCATCTCATGCTTTGATAGGCTTTGTCCCCTTTAACCTCTACTGAAATTTCCTTCCCATAAAGTTTTCCCAATCCAGGACCATAAATAGATGGATAGTCGTAGAACATTCTGCCACGCTTAGATAAATTAAGCTTCTCAAGATTCTTGCACTTCTGCAAGATTATGCAAACACCC